AAAAAAAAAAAAAAAAAAAAACTAAACTAAAAAACTAAACAAAACAAAAAACCCAGCCGTGTAGCAATACAAATGAAAAAAGGAACAGAAGTAACACTTAAAATGAAAAGCTTCTCTGCATTTATGTGGCACTGCACTAATTAATGTAATAATTCAGGGAGGATTTTACAAGACAGCTCTGTAGGGGCTGGACAGGAATACGAGACCCGAGGGCTTAAGCATAAGTTTAAAATCCAACAGCAAATGAGATCACACACCTACGCAAACCACCTAATATACACACAAAGCGCTTATGTTTTAGCACCTCACACAAGTATGATGCCAGGACTCAAAGGATGGCTACTCTTTGCACCAGTGTGAAACATATGTCTCCTAAAAGTACAGTAGCCAACATCCAGAGAAAGACAGCACAACTGTAGAATTACTACTTTCATTTCATATCAGAAAGAATAAAAATAAAAAGATTATATGGTCTGTGACATGGGCAATATTTAAATGACTGAGAAGAAGAAAACAATACTTTCTGGAATTAATAAAGCCTATAAATAAAGAGAAGAAAACAGAAAGAAAAGGCTGTACATAAGATGCAAAGATGAGTATAAATGTACTGGATGGATAGCCTATACAACATTACAAACCACGCAGGTTCTAATTACATTCATTTTTAATATATGGAGCTAGGAAAATAGGATCTACTCTACAAGAGATCTCTTTATAACAGCAAGATTTTCTCCACAAGAGACAGATAAGCGGCAGAAAGAGGAGACATTACTATACAGAGGGTAATGGTATGGAATTCATTCATGTAATGGGGACTGCTTCATTAGAAAGCCGACTTTAATTTTGTACTCCATGACCATTAAAAAAAATGAAAATAAATTAAAAAGAATACTATTAATAAAAACAAACAAACAAAAACGCAAAGGCTGATGGTTACCATTTGGAGAAATGTTATCATTACCTCTTAAAAACTAAAGAAGACCCACTATTATGAGAAAATAATTGGCTGATTAAAATAGCTTATGATATGCCATTTAGTTTACGAAAAAGCTATTTCTAAAACCTGCTTTATCCGCGTTTTGGCCACTCCGAAAGATAATGGGAAAACAGCCAAAGTGAGGTGAATGTGTGCATTTAATTAACTTGTTTGAGAATGTTTTAAGGGGCAGCACTACAGCTGTTCTGAAAGCCTCACTGCTCCACTTTACTTGAAAAGCATTGCCACATTCATCCAGGCTACAAGTATTGGTCTGTTGAACATTCTTGACTGAGCTCATACTGTATTTCATTGTTCTTGTAACAGTCACAATAAAGTATTCTGTTCTATTGTGACAAAGATGATTTATGTGAAAAAGGAAAAGCCTCTTCTGAGTTGTGATATGTGTAGTTTGTAACGATTTTAGAGAAAAAGAGGCCTTATTAAGAACAACTTAATGTGCACATGGCTGTCTTCAGCGACAGCCGTGTCAAACCTTAATACTCAAACACTGTGGCATTGATGCTCTGGCTACAAACCCCCTGCAAATCTCCTGTCTATGATTGGCGACACTTGTTGACTGTGCATCTTTTATTTTGAAAAGCCACCAAAATCCAAAAATCCAGGCTGCTAGCCTGCCCCCTGATAAACACTCTCAATACATCACTAGCTCTAAGTCCTTTGTTTAGTGCAAAGAAAAACAAAACACATTGTCGAATATTGTTTGTTAAGTGTAGGGAGAAAAAAGCCATTTTGACCAGGTTTTATAAGGTGCTGGTGTAGGTAATGTAAAACGTAAAGAAATGGAAACAAGTTCAAAGTCATCTCTTAAAAAACATAGACAACTTAAAGTTACAAGCCAGTCAGTTTCTGATGTTTGTGCTGTTACAGGAAACAATGATTCAATCTGTCAACAATACATGACGGTTATCTTCTAGAGAATGACTTCCAACTATTACACTATATTCCGACGTGTCCCTTTGAGGAACAGTCTAAGAACTGAACATTCGAGTAAGTGAAGATAGCTGTGGTCGCGTTACAAAGGCCTGCAATCACACAGGAACAAAGACATTCACATTTCCAAGTACAGAGCCAAAGATGGGCTTCTCCTGATTAATTCATCTGTTCTGATCCACCTACTCTGATCGAGATGACTGGATCAGAACAAACCTAAAGCTTAAATAAGGACTTAAATGCATGATTGTACATAGAAATAAATGCTCTGGGGTGAAATTTGACAAAAATCTTCGGCTGTGTTATTTTCATACAGATATCAACAAGTACTACGTGATAGTTTTCAGGCTCTATCAATCTATCCGTGGGCAGTCTTTTCTAGATTACTTCCCTAGTCTGACACACAGCACCAACTGGGTACATTTACTTTGTACCTTCTACTTTTGAATAATGAAATAAAATTAGCAGACCAAATATGGGTGACATACTTGATGGCATGCTGCTCAACTGAAAAGCAAAGGAGTTATTATTCTATATAGAAATAAAAAAAATGCTGCTTCTTATTGGTGCATAGAATAAAAGGAAAGAAAGCAGGGAAATCTGTGTGTAGGTACAAACACAGTTCAGGAATTTGGTCGTACAGCTCAACACTCATCACACATTCTCTCATCAGTTTGAGCAAAACTATGAGGGCGAAAAATTAAAAAAGTTAAAAAATAAATCGCATAACCACAAACTCAGAAAGCACGTTCACCATCAAGCACAGCAAACGTTTAAAACCTCTTCTGTCAAGATGCAAGACTCAAACAGCGCCAATTAGATAGATTGCAGGGGTAATTATACAGAAATGGCCAGCAGTGTGATGTTACCATAACACTTAAAACAGGTAACAAGAGGTAGTACACACGGCCATTTCCACACAATTACGCCGGCGTCACGCAAAACGGCCGAGCCTCTCGCTTCAGTTGATTATCTATAAAAGTCACACCATTGCTATCAAAAGTGCATCCAAATTTACATGTTGTGAGACCAGCACCGATAAGAACAATATTGACATCATAACAGTAAATATCAAGTACAGAATTTTCAGAATGCCCCACAAACACAGTCAGTCGGATTTCTAGTTGCTTTTACAGGTCATGAGTACAAAGGGAACCATAGAGAGGTCATCAAAGGGAGAGAAAAGATCCAAAACATTATGACGCTTACTTGTTTTTTAGCATGCAACTACGGAGCCTTGTGGACCAGTCCAGTGAGGATTTAAGGTGTTTTACAGTGAAAACATCTAGCACCTAGAATCGAGATGTCCTTTTGTGCTTTCATATAATTATATATTTATATATATATATTTCTTTTTTTTAATATTCATCATGTAAAAGTTCATAATCTTGTTTGGCTAGGAAAGACTGTGTGTTACAAAGGATACACCCAATTTATAGGCTATAAAACCTACAATGTTACAAATGACCACATAAATACTTCATCCTATTAGAAAGGTATGAAGACGTTGATAAGCACTAAGAAACGCTACTAAATGCAATATGCTAAAAACAACATAAAAAGCCCTGATTATCTACCTCTAGAAATGACTCCAATTCATGTGAGATACCCACTGCTAAATCTCTTGGTTAAAAATGATGCATAGTTAGAAAAGATAAACTACTCGCCTCCACTCAAGACTATGTCAACATTCGCCTGCTTATAGCATTAGTAAAACTTAGGTGGGATATTATTATATAATAATGTTATTAGTAAGACATGACAGTCTTAAAAGGCCATATATTTGCATTTATCTGCATACAAAGACAATATTAATTTAGACAATTTTTTTTAACACGTGGGCCAGTTTTTTAAAAAAGAAAAAAAAAAAATCTATAATCTTTCAGCAGCTTCCACTGAAGGCTTATTCAAAATATACCTTATTACCAACATTACTAAATAGTATAAAGACTCACAAAAAAGTCATTTGCATAAAACCCAAGCTTTTGTGCGATGACAGCCCCTAGTTCTTGGAGCAAACACTACGTTAAAGAGGTTTTAAGGAATTTCAATCAGTTAAACTCTAAAATGTTGCAGCTTTGACTCCACTGTACCGAATGCCTGGTTACCGACAAGCCACACAAATGACACAGCAGAATACATGATCCTGTGTTATATACATTAAAAAAATAGAAGTAGGGTTGATGTCTATAAAGGGAGAAATAAACAATCATCACAAAACCTAAAATGTCTAAAACATGAGCCAGCTACATGCATATCCATTGGAGAAATTATTCAAATTTTAAAAAGTCTGTAAGAACAGATGGGAATCACACAGATTTTAACATGTTCCCCACTATGGTGACTTCCTAATCAAGTGTCTTTTGTCAACATGGCTCAGAATACATTAGAAATGTGTCCTTACTGGGAACCAGTCCCAATATATTACATCTCAGGTCACTCGTTTGTCAGTTCAGACTTAACAGTGGGGCAAAGGAGGAAAAAAAATGTTTGCCCCCCCCAAATTTCTAAATACAAAAAGAGCTTCATTAAAAATAAAAAAAAATAAATTAATTAAAAAGTGTTGATTCAGAGGTTAAACAAATCTGATGTCAAGATCATTAACTGTCAACAGAGTTGGCATAATAAGATCATCAGTGTCAAGAGGACAAATACTGGAAGAAAAATTCATAGTTTTACATAGAAGTGGCAAAGAAAAAAGAAAAAAAGAAAGAAGATACTCTTAAATGGCACTTTTCATCACATAGTGCCCTATGTGGGGGAAAACACAAACAACCCTCAATATATATATAAGTACTTTTGTCCTGATTGAAGCGCTCATCCTGGTCAGTGCACTTTGCTTTGATAGGCTGATAAATAATGTCTGTGGGGAGGACTAAATCATTAGGCATATAACAGTTAATGGACCCCCACATCTTTTGATTTTTGCCTTCTCCCTTCAAGCACCAAGAGCCTAATAACCAAACAAAAGGAGAAGGAGGGCGACTGGCTTTTTCTAAATGTGAAACCACCCCACTGTATACTGTTTCGGCCTGCTAATAAAAAAAACAAAAAACAAAAGAAAGAAAGAAAATTCTTCTATTAATGTACAAACTCTGCCTTGTCTTTTCAGAATTTTCACCCCCTTTTTTTTTTTTTAAACAGATAACAAGTACAAATACAACTAATGCACGACATGTAAATAAAGCCTCTTCCAGCTCAATCCTCAAGAAAGAATGACTCTTTTGCATGTTACAGTCTAATTGCTGGAATGGTTTTGGTGGGTTTAAGTACAATTGTAGACATTTGGGTTACTGACATGTTTGTCTGGTAGGGAGATCACAATGTGAAACCACTGTAATGTTATCTACAGCTGACAGTGAGACAGCGGAGGGTAGTGCGTTCCATCAGTGATGTCTCACCCACGCCTTCCTGGGAGTTGGGTGCTCTCAGGCAAAGTACATGGTGCGCAAGGTGTCCTGGTGGACCTGAACAGCTTTGGCCAAGGCCTGGTGGTCACGTCCATTGCTTTGACCTGATGTGTGACTGCCCTCGGCACTGAAAGAGAAAAAAGTTGCAGAACTGTCAGTTTTTCCAGCAAGGAGACAAACATCTGCAAACTAAGAGATTTTAATTTCTTCACCTGTCATGCTCTTTGTCCACCAAGTGATAGCGAGCCCGGAAAGCCACCAAATGGGCATAGTAAGCTGGTGCTGGGATGGACACTGACCGGGTGCAGCGCACATAAGTGTGACAAAGCTGGTAGGTAAGGACCTGCAGTTCATCTGATGAGAAGTGGTTGTCGTCCCAGAGCACGTGATAGTGAGACGGCCTGCTGGTTCCCTGTCCGGAAGTAAAGCGGATGTCAGGCATAATGGGTTGTTTTTGACTCACAATCTGCTTTCATTAGAAAACACAGTGGAAGACGCCTTTATCAATACATCTTATCCAACTTGACTTTTACCTGAATGCCAGCATGACTGCAAAGGTAGAAGTCAAACTCTGATGGGTGAGTTATTTTGGTGTCCACTGTGGTGCCCGCCGGAATGTTGCCGCTCTTCCCAACCTATAAAAAATATCCATGGAAATACTTGTTAAGCTGGAATTGCTTAAGTGCACTCTGACCCAACAAGCCTACATTACTTTGAAACCTCCCGAGCTGGTGAATATAAAAGAAATTTGTTTTAACAAAGCACAATAAAGATAAATAAATAAATAAATAGAAACAAGAGTTTGCCAAATTTCTCAACTATGAAAATAGCCAAACCATGAAACACAACAAGAAAATCCCCACAGTGACTAAAGAAAAGAAAAACAACAAGAATAGAGTTGTAGCACAATAGGAGATAAAGTCAAAGGTGCCACACTCTACTTGCAGCCACCACAAAGGTTTAGATCACCTCTATTTTTATGCCTGGATCGTGGAACATCCAAGAGCATCTGGTTGGTTGGCTTTAGAGCTCTAACCTGATTACGATAAAGCAAGAGTTCAGCTAATTAATGTGACGCCAGTCCATTTAAAACCTTGAAGGATCATAAACATTTTAATAGACAAGAAGTTAGTGTGTCAAGGTGTTTTATTATCCCAGTTAATGTTTTTAGTTTTTGTTATAAGACAAGTTGTTGCATTTCATAGCGACTGCATATGATGATGGGATACTTAAAAATCTTTGAAACTTCCTCTGAAGCATTATTAGGGACACTGGTGAGAGCATCTTACATCACTCTATTCCTAAACTTGTATGCACTCAGTTAATTAAAATAAATAACTGACCCAGATCATTCATAAATTCCCAGCACTAGCAGTGACAGAGTACTAACCCTCTCATTTCTGTCCATACAGAACAGTCTCGTGTGGTGTCTCTTCTGAACAACCACAAAGGTAATACCAGGCTGGTAGTCCTTCTCTAGTTTGATGCAGGCCTCCCGGATTGCCAGCAGCTCATGCTGAAGAACCTGCACGTAACAAAGTCGTAAGATCTTAAAGATTACCCGTAAAACAATATATGTACAACAAAAGCATGATTAACATTTAACAGCAACTTCTGCCAGCTCAATTAATTTCCTACAACAGCACAAGTGCATAAGGAAAATCAACCACTTTTCCTGTTTGTTATAGTTTATTCTGTGTAGTCCTGGATATATGGATCACCTGGTTGAACTGGCCCTCAGAGATGCCATCCCGATAGTAGATGATTCTGGTGGGCTTGAAGCGGGTGGACTTGTAGAACTGGATCAGCAGCTCCCTCACCATGGTAGCCAGGTCCTGAATGATTTCCTGGCGGTGCTGCTGCACCCGTACTGTCGCACAGTACCGGCTGGGATGGGCATCCATGCTACCAACCACCTAAAATGAAAAGAAAGAATGAACAAAAACAGGTATGACCACATTAAAAAGGATTTACTGAGAATGACAAATGATAGTGATAGACGCTTCATCATTTTGATGTCCCGTCCCACAATGAAAACAAACAAGCAAAAAAAACAAAACAAAACATGACAGACAACTGGACTTTCTCAGTCTATCACATTTTGAGGACACTTTGATTAGGATGAGCTTGGAGGTCAAACAGTTTTCTTTCTTGTTTTTGAGGCAGTGATGTCACTGTCCTGTTGCATAATTTGTGAAGTGTGTGTTTAAGCTAGAACACAGTGTCTTGTTCCTCTGTGTCAGTCCACACACACACACAAAAATATAACATATTGTGAAGGGTAGGTCTTAATGTGTTGTTGCTTACTGCGGCGATAGAGGGCTTTTTTCCATCTCCTGCAGGTGGATGTGTCACATCTGCACCAAGGAAGATCACTGGCTGCTGAAACACCACTGGCCTAGAACAGTAGATGTAAATAAAAAAAAGTTTAACACAATGGCATAGCTTTCATGTGTTGAAAAAATATAAAAGCAACTCATTAGTTTCATGATAAGAATTCACCATAATTTCCACTAACCTGCCCTGTGGGAGGAGGATGTTGTTAACACCGCCCAGCTTAACATTAATCTTCAAACACAGGTTGGAAAGAGTTTGAGGCGTCGTCTTTTGAACGTTCTTCACTTGCACGCACTGTGTGGCCATGCCAAGAACCGTGTCCCCAACACGTTTCACCTCAGCTAAAAACACATCAGGACAAGGGGGAGATATAATTTGATCTGCTATAATAAAAACAAAAAAAATGGAGTGTTGCACAATCTGCCCCAGACGATTTAGTGCACATAAGTAAGCTGACTAAAAGTATTTTCTACGTAAAGGATAAATGTCTGTTTTATTTATTTATGCACAAATTACTTAAAATAACTAACTTGAAGCTCAAAAATGAAACGGAGTATATAACTTTTTCTGTAATTTCTTGTGGTTTACTTCTAAAGCAGATACAGAAGCAGTAAAACTTGTTGAGCAGGCAATAGCGCAGCAGCATGTTCAGATACACTAGAAGTGGGGAGTCGTCTTTGAAGTTGCAGCAGAATGCGGTTGGAGTGGTAGGGACTAATTAAAGACCCCCTTCAGGTTCAAGGAGAGTTATAAATAACATGAATAAAACAGTTCCCTGATTTCTGTTCTTTATAAAAGGTTAAAGCTTCAGTTATTAATAAGAGTTTAATTATCAAAATGAGATACTTTTGTACAGTACATGATGCCTAACTTTACCCAAACTCAATTACTTTAACCAACTCTCATTCTCTACAAAGCAGGCTTATAGTTTTCACATCTGTTTGTGATGTCACAACTTTAACCACTTAACCTAGATTTAAAGGGAACTCAGAGAAACTCTGAAAACAGCCCTTGAGTGTCAAAACTGTTTTACAGAGCTAAATGCAAGCATCCAGGCGAAGCAACAATGACCAAAACTTGTTTCTGAGTGAAGAGCCACACCAGCGGCTTTTAAAATGGTGAATTTAAACTGCACCTGGCTGGAGAAGGCACTGTGTTTGTTTTTTGGAAACAATCAAACAAAAATAAATTTCTTAGACAAAATAAATACCATAGTAAAAGAAGATCCCTCACCATAAACGGGTGTCTTCCCTGGTAGGATGACTACCACCAGTTGGAGGCCCTGGTAGGTGTATTTGAGGTGCCTGAACATGGGCTCGACGCTGTCAGCTCCCTGGGCATATTTACAAAAGCAAGGTTGACCTTGGATAGGCATTCCTGCATCTCGAGAGATCTTCCTCAGCTGATCTGTGAAAGCTCTGACAGGTGGAGATCTTGTTAATTTAAAGATAAACGGGTTAAGACACAGTCCTAGTTTAGGTTAGATGACATTTGAGAGCTGCCTGCCTACCTTGGATACATTGTATGAAGTTTTCAAATTATCCCATTGGACTGCTTTTCCTAACATTTATTTTTAAATTACAGTGAAAAACTGTTTGGTTTTCCAGACTTCAATTAAAAAGGAGCTGGTCAGTCTTGGTGAGTGCCATGAAAAGTCAGCACATATGACTTGCTTAAATACAAAAATAACATGAATGCAGTAGACAAAGCCTGGCTTACACACTATAAATACACAGCACAGCTGTATGTAGTTGGCACGTGCTTTTACACAGAACTATATTTGCACAGTAAACTTGGCCAACATTTTACAGAAAAAACAAAAAGGACTGCGTGACTGTGTTTACACACTTCTGTACAGGACCTACGCTCTGCTTTACAACTTTTTAAACACACCCAGCACCATCAGCCTTAAGCTGTCTACTATCAAACAATAACATGCACACACGATGGCATGACATACATCTGCATATGATAGATAACATACGTTCAATGAATCGTGCTTACTTAAGTAGGAGTTCGGTGCACTGTCTCTGTGGCGCAAAGCAGGCAATGGCCCACACTTTGATCTCAATACCAGTGTGGAACTGCTTGTTCCTCATGTCCCACACTCCCTGGATTGGTGTGGCTATTGCTTTGTTCTGCAAATTGCAATGAGAGCAACATCATAAGTGCTAATCACACCATCCACGATGAAGTTACTTGAATAAAAATGAATAAAGTAATTCATGCATTAAAAGCACATTAACACATACCCTGCCTCCATACAGTATGGAAGGAGCTTGTAGGACACGGCCGTTCACTTCCGTCATCTCATCCCGAACCATCACTCCGAACTCACGAACGTAAGGGTCAGCGTTGAAGTTGGCACTTCTCATCTGAATAAACATACACACACTCATTAGCATAATACAGCAAACTTTAAGATTTTAAGTCAAGTTATTTATTTTCTTTTATTTATGTTTATTCATTTCATATTCAAGGTAATCTGTATTGTTATTAATGATAATCATAATATTATGGACTATGATTGTAAACATTGTATACCAATGAGCAAATTCATCAGCAGTTCACAACAACCATCAATCTCAAAGACTTTTGTTGTCTTCATTAGCAGTCCTTCCAGCACTGGCCTCACTGAACCCATTAATTTTTAAGTTTATCATGTTGGCAGTGCTTGCTATTGGCCTTAGAACTCTGGGCAAACATCAGTGATGAATCACTTGAGTTTAGCCGTTGGCACAATGTAAACATTCTCTGTTTTCCTTCACTTGTTGTTGCAGGAATGGTGTCAAGCTTGTGAAAACTTAAGTTTTAAAAACAGTGTCTGTTACAGTTCATATAACTCACCAGTTTACTAATCTCATCCTGACGATCTGGTGCCGATCTGGCTGTGGCACGGATCATAGTGGAGGTCTGATTGTCTGTCAGCTTTTTGATGCAGCGCTGTCCTGCCACTATGTTACACACCTGGGGCAGACATGCGCAAAACATTTAGAAGAACAAGAAAACAAAAATCTCAAGTCACCTAGCTGGTGAACAAGAGGTTGATGATGCTTACCTCTAGAGGCAGGTAGGTGTGTTTCTGCTCCTGCCCCACCTGTAAACATGGCAGGTGGGGGTATCGCAGGATGAGCTTGTACTTGTCTTTGAAGTACTGAGCTACTGTGCACTCTATAGTTTGGCCATTCTCCTGTTGCAGAGGGAACCTAAAGATTTCCCCCCCAAAAAAAGCATTCAACATGTGAAACCTTTTAAATCTACAGTCAGCAGGAATATTCTTAGACCAGTGTTTCCAAATTTGTACTACTTATAATCACAACAAGTCATCTAGACAGAAAGTTTGGTTTTAAATAGTATTTTGCAGTTGTAGGTGATTTTTTTTTGTTATTGCTGTTGTAAACCTATAGCAAACGTGATATTTGAATTTTAAGCATGCTATTTATCTTGTTTTTAAAATTTAATTGAAAATTATATTTTTAAAAAAGCATTCTTACGTTTGGTGGCTGGCTGGTCTTCTTGTCACGTTGCACACTCTGTACTTCCTCTTCATCTGCCCACAGTGAGTAATCTCAACCTTCAGGCCTGAATAAAGCAATCACAATAAAAGGAAAAAAAAAGGTTGAACATAAACATTTTTTTAAATAAAATTAAGGGAAAATTCATTACAGAAAACCTAACCAGTCATTTAAAATCACCTTCAGCCAACTGAACATGGACACTTTAAAGAAGCTAACAATGGACAAGTAGCTAAAGGCAGCAGCCTCGGTTTGAACAAAGCAGAAGAGAATAATTTTCCTGTTATCTGGTGAAGTTATAAACATACTAGAAAATGATTCAAGTACATGACATTTGTTTGAGCCTGCTTTTTTTGTAAGGTAAACTATGGCTACGTTCACACCGTACGCGAAAGCGCATCAAATCCGACTTTTTTGACCCTATGCGACCCATATCCGATCATGGTATGACAGTATGAACGGCACAAATCCGATATTTTCAAATCCGACCTGGGTCACTTTCGTATGTGGTACTGAATCCGATACATATCCGATGTTTTAGAAAGTGACTGCTGTTTGAATGGTCATGTCGCATTAAATCCATCTTTTACGTCACTGACACAAGACAGACGCCAATTATCAGCACCCGAGAAGACATCGTGAATGCCTCCTGGCCATCCCGTGTAGATGTTAGTGAAACTGTTGGGAAGACAACGTTGGAGAAACGTGAACACTATAATCTGCAGATTCTGACAGAAATCTGCAACTATCCTTTGAAGCACCGCTCCTCTCTAAAACAGCAATAAGGATAATTATTAGGCCGTATGTAAATAACAAAATAACTTTATAACTTAAAGCAAAATTGGGAAACGTAAAGTCCGAAACAACACTTTATATTAAGGGCCATCAGTGAAACAATACTGTTTGGTCTGGCTCTAAGCAGAGCGCATTGTGTGTGCCATCTTCTTTGGCGCATGCAGGTCGCTTTGAGGGTTCACAATAGAGCGCGTTTGCTGTCACATTTTATTTGCAGTGCGACCAGGCAGACAAAAAAATTGGATTTGATCAAAAAAAAAAATTGAATTGAGCATTAAGACCTGCAGTGTAAATGTAGCCTATGTGAGCTAAAAGGTGTTTGGACAGAAACTAATTTCCACTAAAATATTTGCACCTCTTTACAGGAGCAGAATACTTTACTATGTATGCTGTCGGTTATAGTTGCTAAAAAGAAAATCAGCAGCAGGTCACGCTTAGAGAAAAATCAAAATTGGCAAAAAAAAAAACAAAAAAAAACAACTATTTACAACCTGTGTATCTGAAGAAAATTGATGAGAAAATAATCTAAAAAAGTATCAGATAAGAATCTGAACTCACAAATAAATGTTTTTTTTATACATCAAAGCTCCCAAAATCATTAAAAATATGAGCTCCTACGTTTATCTTACCTTTGATTTCTTTTGTAAATTTCACTCGTTGAGAGTCTGTCAAGGGTTTCTGCTGTTCTTCTATGCTTTTGAAATCCAAGACCTCGCACATAAACTCAATTACAGGTTGGGCTTTGTAGAACGCAGTGGCCGAAACTGAAAGCAATTAGACACAGAGTTTCAGCTTATGGAAAAAGCTCAACTTTTGACACATTTTGCATGAGAAATGAATCTCATTGTGAAAATTACCATCGATGTTGAGCATCATTTTCCAAAGGGACGGCCTGACAGACTGGTGGAAACCAAACCACACCTCTCTCCCTCCACCAAGAGGGTTTGAGCATCCCTCTGAAGGAGTGAAGAAAGAGCGTCCCACTGGGGTATACCTGCAGAAGAAAAGCACCAGCAGAAAGCCAACAGTATTATAAAAGGATAAAATAAAGAGTCAAAACTATAACTGACAATGACAGAAATTCTGACGTACCTCATAGAAGGCAAATGTCTCATGACCACATCCAAGGCTTGAATAGTCTCAAAAGGGACGCTGGGTAGCCGTCCTGACAGTGCCTCATGCAGAGCTTGCAGGCTAACGCAGGACACCCACTTGATGGCTACTTTGAAGCTGCGGTCTTTTCCTTCACCAGGAATAGTTACCTCAAGCTCCACCTGTGTGATCAGTTGGGAGGAAAAGAAGAGATACAATGCAGTCATATTGCAGAAATACTCATACTGTTTTTGTTTTGTACTCAAAATAGAGCTTTTACTGTTACAGGTGTGTGTGGAATACATACTTTGTCTCTGCCTATTGGCAAGGGCATGGCAGTGTAAAGGTTCTTCCTTCCATCATACACCGGCTTTCGATCACCAAAGATCTGTGTTTTAAAGTGCTGGACCATGTGCTCCACAATTTCCCTGAAAAGAAAATGAAATAGACAAATTACCAGCAATGTCCCAGGTAATTTGTTCACTCATCTGCTGAACGATAATGAAATATCAACAAGGATATACCGATTGACCCTCCGGGGGCATTTTTCAGGCTTGATGTCAATGTCATAATGATAGACCTCCAATTTGGGGATTTCCATCTCAAAAAAGTTAGCCTGGAGCTTGATTGTCCTGCCCATGGTGCCAAAGTCTGGCCGTGATGGTGGCTTGAACACATATTCTGGCACTGGGGAAGATGGGGGATCTAAAACATGTGAATCAAATGAAGCAACAAAATAAATGGTAAGAATGACATCAAAAAGACCTTTAAGACCCAACCAGCAATAAACTGCCTTATAAACAAAGAGTTGTGGTTGCACATGTAAACGAATTGGAGCATGTTTCACTGATCTAAATCAAACGTAAAACAAAAATCTGCTGTTGGCTTGCATTGCAATTAGTGGTGCAACGGATCACGGTTGATCCGTAATCCGAACCGATCTCACTCCACGGTTCGGCACGCACGTGATCCGAAGATTCGAAAAAGAAGAAAAAAAAGTATGTGTATGGTGCGCGTGGTCGGTCTGTCAAGCGATAGTTATGGCCAGTGCTAGCGGTCCAAGTGGAGGAGCAGAGGAAATTGCGGTATTTAAGCAGCCCTTTGCTGCCCAGTCCGACCGGGCTAAAGCTATTACAAAAGCTATTGGGGTGTTTAGCTGCAGATGGGAGGCCGTATTCCGTTGTGCAAAACAAGGGGTTTAAACTATGATGAACGTGCTTGAGCCACGCTATGATATCCTGTTGCGCGTCCACTTTAGGGGCAAGATCGTTCCAAGCATGTATGAGCAGGAAAAGTTTAAAGTTATGGCTGAACTGTCCCAGGCATCTTCTGTTGCCCTAACTACTACAAATGGGTGGACCTCCAGGGCAACGGAAAGCTACGTGACCATGACAGCTCATTATATCACAGCGGAGTGCGATATAATGAGTGGTATGTATTATTGTAGGGTCTACCTTACAATATAAAGCGCCTTGAGGTGACTGTTTTTGTGATTTGGTGCTTTATAAATAAAATTTAATTGAATTGGGTGGTAGATACAAAGCCCTATACTGCCCTATATTGAACCATAATTTTTTTTTTTAAATAATTGCGTGGAATGAGTCTTGAGTTGAATGTTTTTAACAGGCAAATACTTCAATAAGTGAATAAGTAAATGTTAATTTTTTGTCTTTTTTCGCTGATCCGAAAATTGATTCGATCCATGACTTAAAACCGTGATCCGATCCAAACCGTGAGATTTTTGATCCGTTGCACCACTAATTGGAATACACATAATAATGTCTAATAGTGGGAATAACAGTGTGTATAATACAGTATGATCATTTTAATCAAGTGATGACGCCTCAAAATTTCAAAGATGTACTGTAGGTTACCCCTACAGTGTTTTTTGTTTTGTTTTTAAAGTCAGGAGCATCACGAATGTGCACTAACAATATGACTTAACCATCAGCTCTAATTGGCATAATTTCAAGGATATTATATATGCGCTATTTGGAAAATATTATACTAATATTATAATAAAACAGAATGACTCAATTTATAATTTAAACAACACCACATGGATTTGCAGCTCCAGGACACTGACTTAATTATCCAAATACACTGAATAATCCTGCGAATGTTTGTAGCTTTGCTTCCATCAATTACACTAGGAAAACTAAAAGTGTCACCTGTTGATAAACAGTATTGTAGTATTTGGACCTCCCCAGCTCCAAATCAGAACCAATCTGTTCTTCCTATGCTAAGGCTGCAGCAAATTCAAGTGTGTGCATCTCAATTCTTTCAGCATAAAAGGTTCTGTATAAAACTTCTTCCATCTGGTACAACATGTCAGCTGATTTCAGTACTTTCACAAATGGGTACACACCAAAGCTATGTCCACATGTGCATGGGATTTTTTTTAAACGAGGATTTCCCCCATGAAATATAACAAAGTGACATCAAACACTGTGATGAACATGCCTAAGCAACATGTGATGATGTAGCCCTAACTATACAGGAATGTTGGCCTACATACAATAACACGCTTCACAGTCTGATGTCAAAAAACAAAACTGAGGCATGTTGAGAATGTAAGACAAAATGTCAGTTTTCCTCATCAACACACAAACACAGAAGCACAGTATCTGTGTGTACTGAAAGTTGGCAAATAGCTAAAATTGGCTGAGCAATCGGTTGGGCTCTGCTTTAAACATTTAGCCAGCACAAAATCAGCCACTGTAAATTTGTATCTCATCTGCTAACAGGCTGACATCTGTCTAAAACAGTGATAATGGGTGACTTTTTACAAATGTGCTCAGGCTGTTCTAGAAAAATGAAAAAGCACAAGCTGCAGCTGTCATTTTGAACAAGTTTTAGTCAACAGACCGCACAGTTGTGGATGTAGAGCTCATACAGAGTATAAATACACCACTGAATAAATTCTTCAGAGAACTTCAATTACATTTTTTTCAATGTAACTAAAATTACCAAGAAAAAGGACAAAAAAGGCAACTTGTATAATTTCTTTTTCAAACTTGATTAAAATGCTCAGATTATTTTTCTCATTCATAATTTGACTGTTTTAATTTATCTGCAGTAAGACTTCTGGAGAATTTAATATTTACTTTTTTAAACAAATTGAGAAAAAAATGTTTCTTCATATTTTCTGATTTCTTTGTTGGAACAAAAATAATACAGCTACTTTTCACCTGTGCCCTTATTCACAACAAGTCAGCACAGCAGGCAGCTTAACATGTTTGATTTGTCACCTTTTTTTTTTTTAATTATGTTTTTTTTTTACACTGGATACCCCTTCCTGACCCATCCCCAAAGGGTTTTTTTTTCCTTCAAATCAGTAAACCACTACACTATGTAGCCACACTGACAATAATATACAAGTTGATATAAGAAAAACGTTTTTTAATCTCACAATTGTAATTATTTTGGTACAATAGTTGAATTATTCTTATTAATATTAACAACAACAACAACAACAACATTAACACATGTACCAAATCTACATCAAATCACTATATTATACCCTGAAAGATGATTTTAAGTGTTAACATTTTTGCAACTTATTGTAGGAGATGCACACAGCTCTCATTATTGCTGGACAAGCTCGGCCATATCTGCAACTTCAGATATTTCAGCCGGGACACACTCCATTCCCTTCAGTGCATTATCTTTTAGCTCCAGCGCTGTTCATTCAAACAGAAAACCTTTGATAAAGCCTAGCAATATATGGTGGATTTTAATAAGTGCCCTTTAGTTAAGTGCTCTGCACATAAGCGCACAAAATGAGGTGTACTAGTGCTGACTAGTTGAAGAGCAAAGCATCTTCTGTAGACTCTCACTTACAGGATCAAAATACCTATATGCTTTTTGCTGGATGGTTTCCCTATCAGGTCCTGTTGTTTTTCAGATGAGTACATACTGTGATGCTTGAAGGATGTGCGAGAAAAAAATGTTGCCACTTACACTGGACCACTACTAGGGTCAATTTAAAGTGTTAAAGCCTGAATATGGGAAAAGCTTACCAGAGCTTACGGACCCAGTCGAACGGGGTCCCTCAAGCATCTCAGCAGCTACAGAGAACAAAAATAACATGTTATAAATGCTCAAAGATCCACTCAGTCTGATACACACTGTATTTTAAAATAAAGAGTGACAAATGTGTACACCTAATAACATAGTACAGCCCAGAGACCAAAGATTCCTGCTTAACATAACAAAACCATTTGTTTATGTAGTAAGCAGTAAGAGAGCGCTGCTCATTTATTACACTAGCTTCATCCCAGCAGGCCTTTCTTATCACTTCCACAGGAGTCTTATCAATAGACACGCAGAAAGTATTGAGCAGCTGGCAATCTAACGGATGAAGCCACCCCTTCCCCCTAGAAGTAGACTGCTTCAACACACCGAGTCGTGTTTTGGTTGAACAACACATCCTCGTTAAAATAACTGCAAGTGGGGAAAAAATTATCCAACATAGTGTTGATGTCGCCTGTACTCTCTTTCATTCCGCCAAAAAAAGCCAGCTGACAAAAAACCCGAAACGCACACATGAAATACAATGATATGCAAATCTACACACACAAACACAGCGTCTGTCTGACTAACGACAGGCGGCTCAGTCGCTTAACTATCACTCTACCTAACTCAAACTTAATCAGGCAGACTTCATCAATATCATTTAGTGTCTTAAACCCGGTGTTACACTGAAAATACGATCCGGTGGCGTTAGTGCGTTTATACAGCCGGTGTATTAATGTGACATATGTAAATGTGGCGATTTCAACTGTCAGGCTAATCGTATCCCAGACTGGTGATGAGATTAGGTCGGCCTCGAAATATTGCTTCAACTAGTGTGTTTAGTGCTGCAGTTCGAGAAAATGAATGATATGCGTTTACGTTCGCGTGATTTGTTAAGAAAACATAAGCCAGCCAACCCCCACTTGGTGAAAGTGCAGTGAGTTAACTAAAAACAAGTTCTGGAAACCAGGTGCCGTTGAAGCTAGCGTGGCTAGCGGCAGCTTGTTGTTGCACGCTAGCTAAGCTTGCCTCTAGTACTAAAACACTTAAAACTGGGACGACATGTTCCACGTCAAAGCCGTTGTTGAGTTTTATAGTAACGAGTTGGATGAAACGGGAACATAGCAAGCACTTCATCGATGCAGCACAGAAAAATGCCGCTCCGTTATCGTCAGTTTTCTTTGGCCGCATCACGTAGCCGATGCTAACGTTAGCCGCAGCACTTACCTCCAGCAGAGGAATACATTTTGTCGACTTTTTTTAAGCGTGTGTCGTGGACGCACAAACACTCCACTTAGTTTTTCGCAGAATTCCACCAAAACTCATCCGTAGTCGAAGTGTATTTATATGTCCAAGTGCAAGGAAGGAAACTCGGTTCTAAAAACAGATATTTAGTTAGCCAAGTGGTAAATATTTGAAGTCTCTCATCCTCGGCTCGGCCCCATCCCCCCAACACGCAAAACGAGAGCCGAGAGAAAAGAGAGCGCAGGGTAAAGAACCACGCGCTTCAAGATGATTCCTTCCCATTCCTTCCGCCTTTGGTCACTTTACTTTAGGTAGTGTATATATTTACATTTTGACTTCTTTTTTTAATCACCCTTCTTTTTTACAAGATATATGTATTCATCCCATCAGTGTAGTCATGAATGTAGTCAAAAAGCTAGTATCCGCATCAGTCCACGAAATTTGATTCTTTTTTAAAATAAATAAAACACATACTATATAACACATACATACACACAATATAACACAATTTAGACAAATCACGTTTCCTATCAGATTTAGTATTTTATTAGCCAAAGTTAGCACTTTACACGGTTGCAAACATTTCAAATACGGTTATTTCGACTTGAGGGGAAATATTAACGTTTAGATTTATGCGAAGTGGGGAACTATCTTGCTTTCCGGTGACGTCAGACGCACGCTGCGCGGTCTCAGTAGTGATGCTAATTCAAATCTTTTTTAAAAAAACACCACAGAGATCGCTTACCTGGCTTAAAAAACAACATGACTTTTTATAACCTGGCTAAAATACAGGCCTGGTTTAAATACGTACATATATATGTATATAGCAACAAATCTCGGTTTTTAAAAATGTCAACAAGCAAAGCAACATACCAAGTAGTTTGTTTCTTCGGCGGAGGAAGCATTTCCGGGGTACCAAAGTTTTTTGTTTTGTTTTTTATAATACCCATAGCTAGTGCATGGTAATGGATCCACAAAAAATTCCAACGTTATAGTTCATTATAATATAACGACGGTATACAGAAGATTTATCAAGCCATGTGATTTTATATTATACGTTGAATTTTACTTATGCTAAAAATTACTTAAAGTTTAATTAAGCGGAATGAATGAAATAAAATTAGATGTACACGCTCAAGAAGTGAATTATTGTCTATAGTAACAAAAAAGCTGAAGACGATACACACAGGTAGGTTGTTTCTATTGAATGTTTTTATTTGTTTATTTATTATTTGCTCATCCAGATTCCTCATTTTACATCTGACTGGGGTGAAAGAAAAACAATAATAAGAGGGATCCTTCTTCATTGTTCTCTTTAGTGATTGCCACAACCGCCATCTCTTCCTATCCCTTATTTAGCACCCTTTGCCTAGTATATCCACTATCCCTCCACTGCACATGTCCAAACCATCTCAGCCTCGCCTCTTTCTAATGGACTCATTTCTAATCCTGTCCATCCATGGGACATTTAGAAGGTCTATTTAAAATGATATGACTGACATGGAGGGATGTCACTGTGTAAGCCATTTGTTTATTAATGTATAGTTATGCATTTATGTCACATACGAAATTAAATGAATCTGTGTTATTGTTTTCAGGTGCTCTTTGTCTTTCTGTTTTCGGAGAGTAGATAGTGCTGCATGTCTCTTTAACTGTGAGCCTGGTTTCGCGTAGCTGATGCCGTTTAAAGTAGAATTATTTATTGTATGAGTTGCAGATTTGAGGTGTGAAACATGCAGAATGTTTCCGCATGTGTGCATCCAGTTAGCAGCACCTGCTGAAACGCCCATGTAGTCTTCCAAAAATTTGAAACAGTTGCAGGCTCTTTTATCAGATTAAACTGTTACCAGTGTCACGTGATTCCCCTTTCCCCGTTAATTTAATCTAATGGGTCTATATTTAATCTGGGCGTCTGGGTTGTGTCAAATTTGAGTGCATTTATTTTATGTTTTGTTGTGGGTTTGCCAAGGTGAACGACGTGCAGCCCCTCGCTTTGTCCTCTTGTCGGCGCTGTTTACCACTGAATGTGTGGGCTGACGGCCGGAGCTCTGGTTTGTGTGCTCGGCAGCATGCTTCAGGAGGGAATAACATGGATTAATATTTAATGAGCCGTTTATTGATGCCGAACTGTGTAAACAGCACAGACACACCGTGTTTGATTTGCCGACGATGTACAGAATATTTGGGATCATTCATTTGATGCAAGAAAAGCTTTTTTGAAATTCCCATGGGGGTTAGGCTATGTGCCTCTTAAAACGAAAATGAGAATATATATATGTATGTATAAAAAAAACCGAGCTCATTTGCTAAAGCTGCTCAGTTTCATGTCTTTGCGATTTTATTTTATTATTAGATTATTAAATTTGATTCCATGTTTCCATGCGTGACTAGAGCAGCTAGTGAATTCTGTTCTGATAAAAACGCGTAAATAAAGATTAATAAAGACAAGCGTGATAATCGGTGGCTCTTGCAGCACAGGCCTTTTTGGTAATAGGATTTGTCCTTCTAATTTATCCTTCTGATGAATTGGCGACACTTTAATTGCTGCCATTGATTGATAGTATAAAAACACAACAATGCAGCCAACATGCAGCCCGGGTGGCTTCCCCCCTTATAAGAAAGCTGGCGGAGTGAATTGGGTGTAGCTGTGTCTGTGTGCGCCTTGGCCAATGGAACCAGATCCTCCCTGCAGTGCGTAAGAGCGCGATTTAGGATTTAACCAAGTCTTTGCTGCGGGGCTGGCTGCAGTCTTCACCAGAGCCCGACGGCCTGAGAGCCTTTCAACAATGCCAGTGTAGTTTTTTTTTCCCCACACCGCTCTGGAGACAGACGCTCTCGGTTTTTATTATTGATTTTTTTTTCTTTCGTGTTTTTTTCCCTGCTGATTAAATAAAACGAACCGACGCGCTCCCTCTCGAAGTATGACCGGAGTTTTTGACCGGAGGATCCCGAGTGTGAAATCTGCAGACTTTGAGAGCTCCTTTCAACTCTCCAGCATGCACCATCCGTCTCAGGAATCTCCTACTTTACCCGAATCCTCCGCCACGGATTCTGGCTACTACAGTCCCGCTGGAGGAGTCGCTCACGGCTACTGCTCGCCCAGCTCCACCTCTTACGGGAAGCCTCTGAATGCCTATCAGTACCAGTACCCGGGTGTAAACGGATCTGCTGGAAATTACTCGACAAAATCCTACACAGATTACAGCTCCTACACGACCCCCTCCTACCACCAGTATGCTGGGACTTACAGCAGAGTGCAAGCCCAGCCGAGTCCACAAGGTACGGGCCTAACATTTTATATTTTAATAGAAGCAGATTTTTTGAGGGTTATGAAGAAAAAATAAATATATGGTTGGTTTTTTAAATTTTTTATCCAGGTTTATCATTTCGTCAACTGCTGATTTGCACGAAAGGTCTATAAATGCGTAATTAAAAGAAAAAATGCAAATGCATGCTTCAAATTATTTCATTTAAGTCCATTTAAAGGGACCACTTACTTTCCTTTTAGTTGGACTGAAATGCATCTGGTTTATAAAAATGGATGTCTTTTTTGTTATTACTGTTATTTTAATACATCTGAACGATGACACACACACACGTAATAGATAAATTACATAAAATGCGGTTTTGAGGGAAATGGATACATGTTTATATTCGGTTTTGTTATTTTGTTTTTTAATAGAAAAAGAGATAAGCGAGCCTGAGGTGAGGATGGTGAATGGCAAGCCGAAGAAAGTGAGAAAACCCCGGACAATCTACTCCAGCTTCCAGCTGGCCGCCTTGCAGAGGCGGTTTCAGAACACACAGTACCTGGCGCTGCCGGAGAGAGCCGAACTGGCCGCCTCGCTGGGGCTAACGCAAACACAGGTGGGATTTTCGATGAAAAATAAATCTCAGATCTCTCAAATAACTTTTAATTTGGAAGAAATTATCGTGTTTTAAGTGTTTCAAATGTTGAGAATAAAATAATGATTTTGCGATGTTTTCTGGCTTTCTTTGTGCGCTTTTACGCAACGAGCGTTCTTTAAGCTCCATTTGTTTTTGAGGTGATTTCGGAAGTAATCATAATAATAATGCGATTTTTGGCCCCTTACAGGTGAAAATTTGGTTCCAAAACAGAAGATCAAAGATGAAGAAGATCATGAAAAACGGCGAGCTTCCCCCGGAACACAGCCCCAGCTCCAGCGACCCCATGGCCTGCAACTCTCCACAGTCCCCGGCCGTCTGGGACACACAGGGTCCCTCCAGGCCGCACAGTCTACAGCCACAAAGCATCAACACGACTGCTTCTAACTTTTTGGAAAACACGGGGTCATGGTACACCTCAGCCGGCAGCTCCATGACATCCCACCTGCAGACCCCTAACTCAATACAGCATTCGTTGGCTCTTGGAGCGGGGACGTTATATTGAAAAAAAAAGAAAAGAAAGAAAACTACACTAAACAAAAAACAAACCTATTGTTGATTTCATTTCCCCCTCCTTCTATGGGACTCGTGTTCAAATTTCAGAGGAATATGCAATGTATTTGATGGCAGTCATAGAAGAAACGTGTAAAATGTGTAAATGTGTGCATGTAATTTATTGCATTTTGGAAGACTATTAAACGTTTAAATGGACAATGGAACTTTGAACCCCACCCCCCTGCCTCCCTGCAGTCTCTTGTTATTTTAAACCCTCAGTTATTTGCTCTGAAAAAATCACGACAAAAGCTCGCAGACAGCCTCAGGTGACATTTTTTTTGTTGTTGTTGTTTGCTTCCACAAGGTTGTAAATCACGGCTGCGAGGTATGTAGAGCTGAACGATCAGCATCAAATCTTAATGGTTTTCATGTGCAATTACGGCCTAGGAGTGCGTCGTTTTGGGTTTTTTATGTTTTATATTTACTAAAAACTGGTATTTGTCTGAAAAAGATTTTTGCAGGTAAAATTTCGTCTATTTTTTTTCTAAGAAATGACAATTAAAAAAACAACCTATTTGAATGAAGGCAGTTTATCCTACATTTGCGATGAATGCAAAATCAGAAAAATTAAAGGGAAAATTTCTGACTGAGCTTACATCAAGCAAACATTTGTCAAGATAAATACCTGTAAAAGCAACGGTACAGGCAACGGTAAGCGTCAGCCGACCACACCAATCACATTTTACTGAATCGAGCTGGGTGTATTTGTTCTGTAATACTGCATCTATTATTGCTGCAGTAAGTCGACAGTA